GCTTATCTATATTAATCATCAAACCAGAAAAACCTCTTTAGCATATTCTTAATATATATATTTTAAAATGTCACCTATTTCTAACTCAGTTGTGTAAAAATACATATTTAATTTTTCAAAATATTTTGGAAGCCAGTTTTTATGAAGTGTTAAATTCAAGAAGATACTTCAACATTACAGGGAAGATTACTTTAAAAAATGGAAATATTTTTTGAATTGATAAATTTGTTAATAACCAAATGGTTTTAGTTCATAAATCAGATACAAACAAGCAGAATACATAGGTAATAAATTAGGTGCTATTACACAGGATTTGAATATTGCACTAGGAGAAACTTCGGTGAAGAATCACTTGGGGATGGAGTGGGCCCCCACACTCTCAGAAACTCAGACACAGGTCCTCACCTTGTCCCAACTGAGGCATTGCTGCCTCCTCTGGAACCTCTTTTGTTTTAAAACATCAGTGGCACGTCTTAGATAAGTCCCCACTTTTGCACTCATCCTCGATCATTATAAGCTTTGGGAAGAGAATTTTGTTTTGACCTCAAACTCCATCAGGAAGACTGAGTTCGGGAAAAGGGTTACTGCCAAGAGATGACTTTCCACTCTGGTGGATTCCAGCACCCCGAGACTGCAGGATCGCTGGCGGAGCGCGGGGGCGGCTTCCTGGCTGCCTGGGTGCACTCTGCCACTCGGGGTCCAGAACTCCGCTCAGCTTACAACTCCTCTCTGTCCTGCAATACCCCGCCAGGAATTTCAGGGTTCAGGGTCCAGGCATTTAACTTTGAGCAAAACTTACGTGCAGAGAACTTGGACCTATGGCTAGAGGGATCAAAGGCTCGGGACCAGACTCTGGCTCCCGCGCCAGCAGAAAGTGCAGGCACTGGCCCTGCACTTCCGGAAGTTCTGCCAACTTCACTCTCCTTAGTTTTCCGACCCGCACTCTGCAGCACTCTTCGAGAGTTCGGGAGAATGAAATCGCCTCTCAAAACCTCAAGGCTGGGAGAGACAGGAGATGAAGGAGAAGAGGAGATGAAGTCGGCCACTTGGCCACAGGTCCGAATTTTGACACACCTGGAATTCACCCTGGGGAAGGAAGGAAATGGGTGACAAGTGACATGCGAGTTCTGCATCCTCACTTCTGCTATACTCTTTGAGTTTATTTTATTTTTATTTTTTTTGGTTTTAATTTGTACTTTTCCCATTACGTTTGGAAACTTGTTTCTGCTTTTATTTACCCCTTTCCCCTCATACATCCTTCTCGGTCTTTTTCTGCATTCCTAACCCTCCAAATGAACTCGAGTGCCCATAGTTATCCTGACTTGCACGGGGCCTCGGGGTCATACGACTGGATTCCGGTAATGGACTCCCTCCCATCGCTGGGTTCTACTCTTGGGACTTTCCTGGCTACCGCGGATGAAAGTCAGATAACCACTATCACCGACAGCGAGAAACCGGGGAAAGGCTGTCCCAAGCCTTACCCAAATCCTCTTTTTTCCCCCCTTTATTTTGTCTCAGACTTCTTAACAACCTTAGTCTCTTTTTATGTGAACTTTACACTTCACTTCTGTTATGAATTCTCAAAAGGCAGACAGGCAGTGGGAGAGGAACCATGGAGGAAAAAAGAGCGAACAGGAGACACTCATTATATATTTACTTTACATAAAGAAACGAAACATATGTAATTTTAGATGTTCTTCCGAATTAGAGTTCTGAGGCTATAGAAAACCTATTTTTAACTTTCCCTTCTCTCATACAGTCTTGATTGCCTAAATTGCTTCTAATTGGGTGGCACACATTACTGGAAACGAAGGACGCATGACAAGCAGCCTTCATTCTTCCGCAGATTTAGATAATGTCTCTGGATGAATATCATTTCTGATCAGGAAAAACTAGAAAACTCATAAACAGCCCGCAGTTTTCTTTGGAGGTTTGTGCAATGGTAGGTATGTGTGTGGGGTGCCCTGACAATCATTCAGTCATGCAAACGGATGGCATTTTATAGAATGCACCTCATAGTAATCCAGCGCCCATGTTTTTATCCCAGATCTACCAGGACACAAAAACTAAGCATACTTTTTTTTGTGGGAGGGGAGGTCATTGAAACTCACTTAGCCTTCTTCCTTCTCATATCTGCCAATTGTAAAAGTTTTCAGTAAGCCTCCTTTAAAACATTACCTCTTTCGCCTTACCCAAGATTCGGGCGTCCCTCAGCTTCCCTGGTGAGCGATGCCAGCCCCCAACAGTAGCAGTAAGCAAAGGTCATTACTACGCAAACTGGTGTGTTCAGGAACTCCGAAGAATCAGCAACTGGAGGACACCCCGGGGCCAGGGTTCTTGGAAAAGTGAAAGATGCAACCCCAAACTGAGTTTGCTGAGGCAAAGCATTTGAAGTGAACTGTTTTCTTCTAAGGTGCATTCTGTCGGCTCCCGGGTGGGGTACCTCAGATGCTAAGAGACACTTGAAAGTGAAGGCTGAAATAAATGAACGACTGAACTAATTGTCTTGTCAAACTACTGTTTAATTTTTTTCACTACCCAGAAATAAACCAACAAATACATAAATATTATTTTAGGCCAGAGGAAATCTGCCAAGAGTATGTTTCACTTTCTGCAGTCAACTTTAGAGTCATCGGGTTTTTCTTGTTAATTCTTTTCCTTACGGGGAAAAAAAAATCAAGAATGACATGGAAAGCCCCTTTAAGGCCACTTTAAGCTGTGTTAGAGCAGAATCCTGAGTGCGTTGGAAGTACCCAAACCCATCCAGAATACCTGCCTTCAGGGTAGGGCATAGACAGTGCCTTTGGAGGTAGAGGGTCAACAGCAACTTTCTGCTGTGCCTAGGCACAACTTTTATTTCCCCCTTTATGAATCTAATAAAGACACCTCGAGTTTTGGGAAATCTAACACTTCTGCTTCATTAAAGGTCCACTGCTATCTAGCTTCATATCTTACACTGGCCCTCAGAATGACTTTATTAGCCCCACAAAGATTCCGGCAGTAAGAAATTCACAGTGATTGCATTCCAACTTGGTCCCTGTAATAGATGTGTGCCTCACTGCTGGCCTTGGTTGGGTTGACAAACACTGCTGAAACTCTCTCTTTGGAAGGTTCACCCCTATAAATTTGTTCCTCTACTAGTCCCTTGAGAAGCAGGAGATTCAATGCAGAAGAAAACATCACTGATTGGGGGGACTAGCAAGTTCTAAAGGAAAATCCCTCTGCTTCAGTGGATGCTTTGCCAAAGCAGTTTAAAAACTGAGGGGGCAACACCAAATCTTGTACTTTTAAAAAGGTAACTCTGGTGATTCAAACTTGATTCTTTAGCTGGAAGAGGGTGGGGTGGGAAGGAATTGCCTGGAAACGAAATTGACATTCAAATAGAGTCAGGTAAAGCCCAATGCCCCTGGCCACATTTTGGATTCCAAAAAGGCACTTTCCATCCCTACTATTTTAGAAAGAGAAAGGAATAGGAGGGGGGAGAGGGCCAAAAGGGGGGAGAGGGGAGACTGCAAGAGAGAAAGAAAGAAGAGGGGGATATTTAGCAAGTTAAGAGGTTAAATATTTGAACAGATCTGTAAATATATAGACAGCCCTCCTTATTTGGGATGTGTAATAATGCCTTTTGTGGTGCTGTCTGGCTGGGAGGCTGCAAAGAGGTCTGCTCCCTAGCACCTTCTTCCCTGGGAAATCAACTGGAAAGCTGGGTTCGCAAAACAAAAACAGAGTTATCCTCCTTTGGAAAAAGAGGAATTCTCTCTCTATTCTGTCTTCAAATATGAGAAGGAAAAAAAAAGAAAAAGAAAATAAAGAAAAAGCAGAATAAATGAAAAGGTTTTCATTTCCTAAGGTTTTTTTAAAAAAATTTCTCCCCAGGAGGACCTCAGAAAGCTATCTTCAGACTGAAGTAATTTCAAAGTATTGTTTAAGCTGATGACATATTCTAGCACTGTTATCTATTGTGCATCTGTTATTTCCTTGAACCCAACTAACAGCGGTGTGTGTGTGAGTGTGTGTGTGTGTGTGTGTGTGTGTGTGTGTGTTTCCAAAACCTGGGTTCTATAGAGGTGCTTCCATTGCTGAGTAGGGTGTTCTCCCCCACCCCCAACACACACACAATACTGTTTTCTGGACAACTGTACTGAGCGCTGTTCCGAGCGCGGTTGATGGCATCTGTCCTCAGCCTGTGCCCGTGGGCGGAGGACACAGGCTGTGGGTGTGTCTCGCCCGCAGGCGCGCGTGCGTGTATCCTGTATACATGCATTCTCTGGTGTGCCTCAAATGGAGCCATTTTTTTTTGCCCGTGCGGCGTCCTGCGCATATGAGTATTATGCAAATAGAATCATTCCGCTTGAATATTTGTGGAGGGGGAGGGGATGAATCATTTTAATTCTGCTCTAATATTTTCTCGGCACCTTTTCATTGAGTGTGAATGCATTTGGATGCCTTTCTGAGGTCCTTGTGTATGTGTGTATGTGTGTGTTGGCAGAGAGTGTGTGTGTGCGGGTCAGTGGGTGTGTGCCTCGGTGTGTGGGAGACATGCACGGTCTATGAGGACCTTGAATGATACGTGTTCTCTTCGGGTGTCCCGTCTGTCTGCCCTTCGTGTTTTGTGTTCTCTGGGTGATTATGTGCGTATTTACATATGTGTGCCTATTCTCCTGCCTTCGTGTATTGTCTTTCTACACAATCCACACATTTCATATATATTCTCTTATCTTTTGGCAAAGTGCCTTTTTTATTCCTCGAAGAATATTTATTGATGTGATAATCTGAAATGAAAAGTGGTCTCCCATGAAGGAGATGGAAGAAAAAGGAGTGTTCATCTTTCTTAATAGACGGGGCAGTGCCAGTTGACTGGATCACAGGGTTTCTCTGCACTTTCTGCCTGTGTGTCTGTGGGAGGGGGTGTGGGGGCGGGGATTGACGGGGGGGGGGCGCAGAGAAAAGGAGCTTTTAACCAGAACAAAGATAGGGTACTGCGCCTCCTGGCGGCCAGATTTCATATTGCACCGAACAGGCCCGCCCCAGTTTTCTTAGGCCCAATGAATACTGTAATTTCCTTCGTTAAACCATTCAGGGACTGCCTCTCAGACCCAGCCTCCGGCCATCAGCCAATCACCAGGCTCCATGCAAATCACCTCTTCCGTTTTCCAAACCAGACTCTGCTTTAGACGCGGTTCTTGTTACCCCGCCCCCTCCTTATTTCCTCCGCTCCCCTCCTCCCTTCCTCCTCTGCCTCCACCCGAGCAGCTGCAGGGGAAGAGGGCAGTGCTGGGTGCCTCATGCATATGCAGACAGATCCTCCTCCTCCTTCCACCTTCTCGCGTCCGCTCCGGCAGCCTTTTCCCTTCCCCCCACCCGTCCTCTGCCGCAGCCACCGCCTCCGGTTTCCCTGGCGCGTCCGCGCGCCTCGACGTGCGGTTCCCCGAGCTCGGGTCCAGGGCAGCTATTTCCCAGAAGGAGGCCTACTAATGCTCTAGGAGCAGGCGCGAGAAAGGGAGGAAGGCACTATCCTTGAAATCCTCTCGAAGGTCAAGTTTGAGGTTTGCTGTACAGAAGCGAAAGGCGTCGAAAATGCTGCTACAGGGTCTGAGGGAAGGTTCTGCACGCAGACTGATTTTGTCATGGCTTTCTCCCCCTTAAACACCAGATTAATTTCTCTGAAACACACAGTGTACTGGCCACGTCCAGAGGCAGGATGACGATAGATAGTTTTGTATGCCCAGAACTATGGTGTGTATTTGTCTTCTACATCAAGGCTACAATAGTTCCTTAAGCTATAAAGCATTGGGGAGGAGATCAGACAGCTTGAGATCTACTGAGAGAGAGAAGTGCCGACATGTGGTCAGGGGAGAGTGGTGCGCAAGATCTGTTAAAGGTGGGCAGTTAAATGTCAGCCCCTCCAACTTACAGGTAAGCAGACTAAGAGCATGAAGGAGAACCCATGAAAAGAGAAACCGATTCAGAGAGAGAGAGAGAGAGAGAGAGAGAGAGAGAGAGAGAGAGAGAGAGAGAGAGAGAGAGAGATGGGGATAATTTGCCACTGTTATTTACATTCAGAATCTCGGTTCTTGGCCCTTTACAGACAATAGTAAAAGGTACACAAGCTTTGAATACTGCTCTGAACTGCCCTTGAAGCACACTGATGGGAAAAATGTCACAGGAGAAAATCGCGGTTTGTATAGTGCTTTGAGATCCTCTAATGGGAAAGCAGGAGAATTGCGAAGTGACCTTGTTTCATAGATCTCTACTCTGACACTGGAACACTTAAAGGATTTTCTACTGAGAATTGAGGAAATTCCCACTCAACACTTACACCATGAAGAAGTGAGTAGAGAGCAGAAAAATTTAAATAATATTTTGCCAACATTTATTAATTGAGCACATTTTATGGAGTGCTTATTATGTACCTGGTAGAGAGCATCATCATCTATGCAAAGAACGGTATGGGCATAGTGTTTCTCAGGTGTGCTGGAAATTAGGGAAAGCAACAGGAATTCTAAATGGTTTCTATCTTCAACAGGAATTCTAAATGGTTTCTATCTTGGAGTTGCTCATCATATTACCAGACAAAAAGATACAGATAAATCTAATACAGTGTAACATGGAACATGAAAACAGCTTAAATATCTGTTAGGAGTGCATTCCAACAGTGAATATTCTACAGCAATTAAAAATGAATGGATTCTCTTGAAAGCAATATTGGATGAAAAAAGCAATTGCAAAAGAATACATGTGATATTAACATAATATTTTTATCTGTTATTATAACTACAAAAAATAAAAAAATGTTAGGTATATATCCATGCACTAAAAATATAAGAACATGGTGAGGAAGGATGCATGCTAATTTCAGGATGGAGGTTATCCTTGGAAAAGAGGGCTCTTTCAGCCATATGAGTTTTAGCTATATAAGTAATGCTTGTTTCCTAAAAGATGAGAAAGTAAAAGAAAAATGAGGAAACAGAGAAGTTTGGGATGGCATTGTAGAAAAGCTGACATTGAAGCTAAGGTTAAGTTCTTGAAAATGATAAGCAGGAGTTTGATATGAGTATTGAGAAGAGAATTTTCCTGAGAAAGAAAAGTATGAACAGTGTGAAACTTTTACACTTTCTAATTTAATTTTTAATTTGTATATAGTAATATTCACTTTTTAAAGGGGTACACAATTCTTTGAGTTTTACAAATGCATGGAGTCAAGTAACCACTGTCACAAACAGGAAACAGAACCGCTCCCTTTTCACTACAAATACTGCCCTTTGTAGTCAACCTTTTCCATACCCTTGAACCCTGAGACCACTGATCTATCACCCATCCTTGTACTTTTGCCTTTATCTGAAGTCATATAAATGGAATCACACTGTAGGCTGTCACCCTGCTCATCTCTGGCTTCTTTCACTTAGCATAATAAATTCGACCTTCATATGTGTTGTTAGATGTTTTAGTAGTTTGCTCCTTTTGATTGCTGTGTAGTATTTCATTGTTCACATGTACCACAGATTATTTATCCTTCCACCAATTGAAGGCCATTTGAGTTGTTTCTGATATATAGCTTCTTGAATCCAGGGACTGGGTTAATTGTTTCCCAGAGTATTATCATGCATAATGTGAATCTTCTGTGAATGGCTGTTGTAGGATCAATATGTTCAGTTATTTCTCCTCAGAGTCTAAATCTATAATCTGTTGTGAAATACTATGTAGTGTTTAACTACAACTATATACAGCCAAACAAAAGAAGAACAAGGGTTTATAGTTTCTTTGGAAGTTGTCCCTCACCTGACTCAGTTGCAGTGAGTTCAGTGGTTGATTTTGCCAACATTTATTAATTGAGCACATTTTATGGAGTATTTATTATGTACCTGGTAGACAGCATCATTTTCCATGCAAAGCATGATATGGGCATGGTGAATCTTAGGTGTGCTGGAAATTAGGGAAAGCAACAGGAATTCTAAATGACTTCTAAATGGCTGTTTATGAACTATCTGCTACTTAGAGCCTTTACTTATTTTAAAATTGCTAGTACTCTCCTGGCAATTTGAAAGTTCTCTTTGTTAAAAGCAGCTGTCCCAGTAATAACATGCAAGATGGCCATGAAAGAAATAAACAAATGTTTACAGACAGACTACCTTCTGGGTGGTTCAGAGTGGAGAAGCTGTAAAGAGTGATAACACTGAGATCAAAGGAGTGTTGTTGTCTAATCCTAGTTCTTTCTGTAGAACAGGCTTTTTAAAAAATTTATTTAAAATTGTATCCACTTGCTATACATGATATCCGAATGTCATCCCTAGTTTGAGTTGTAATAATCAAAATCACCCTCTAGCAAATGACTCTAGAAACAGAAGTTTCATCTAAATGTTCAACTAAAGGGAAAGTTAGTAAACGGAGCACTAGAAATTTACTTTGGATAAATTCTTAGGTAGAAGTTATAAAGGTTATAAATCAAGGGTTATAAATACTACATTTTAACTTAGTTAATATTCTGTGCCATCTTGGAAAAAAGTCTACCTAATGTGTTCCACATAAGCATGTTGCTATTTATGATTTTAATATTCCCCCTACAGAAACACTTCGTGAAATGTGGGCTTTGCTGTTACAGATTTTATTCTTTAATAATGCCAAACTAAGTATTGATAGAAGCATCTACCATTTTCCCAGTTAATTACAACATATCCAAGCTTCTTGTTTCCTAGTGAACTTTGAAGATTTTGAGAAAGTGATAATTTCCCACAATAAACTAATTTGTAGCTCTATATTCAAATAACATAATATAGAATCATGCACTTTTAACTTTCGTCACTGTGGCTGCAATTGTATTTAGTAAACATGTCCAAGCTAAGACATGTCAGCCAGTCAGGTTCATCCATCCAGTAACTTATTGGTAGTTCTTTCATTAAGAGATGATCACTAGTGCATTTGTGTTACAAATAACTATCTTAGTTATTTGTAACACAAATATACAAATAGCTATCTTAGTACCAATCTGTGATTTCTAATGGAAATGAAAGTACTGATGGTAAAGAAAAGAAACATGTTTCAAAGCATCCAATTCCATGATTGTGGAGTAATCTAGTAAAGCCTTTTCTTTTCTAGGCACTGTCTTTTAAAATGAGATTCTACTCCAGAGTGTTACAGTAGCATAATATAAATTGGTGGCTCTGGCTTTTAAAACTCTGGTTCTTTCCCTGTAAAGCAGTATAAGTGAGTGCCTTATCATAACTTTGGAATAATGACATCTCAAGGCCTGTGCATTGCATTCACAAGCAAGTTAAGTCCCAGAATGGGGTTGACTCAGCAGTACCTGACCAGGCTGCTTGATGCACTGAATACCATTGCCCCTAGGAATTAATATAGAGGTGCCTGGAGCTTGTGTAAAGTTCTCTGTGCCATTTGAAAAAGGAACTCGGAGGAAAGATAGGCTGATTTTTAATTTTAATGTTTTACTCATAGGTTTAAGTACATTTATGGTTTGCTTTGCAAAATGTCAACAGACATCCCAAGTGGATAACATTTAAAAAAGATTGAATTTCCTGTATTTACTCTAATATCATCTAAAAAATGTGGTCATCAATGCCCACAGGTTCATTGGCTAAGAAAACTCATTCAAATAATTATTAAAAACAACTAATAATACTTTTAGTTATTTCCCTCAATTAATTAGAACTCCAGAAAGACAGAATTAAAGGTTTCATTGTAGTTTTGGTGCCTTTAGGAAGGACTGTAAATTGAGTTCCCATCTACAAGACGGCTAAAGGACACTTTGAGAAGAAATTGTCTGTTAGCTACTGGAATAAATGTTCACTTATATATTATAAATAACATAACATTTTAGTATATTATATACTCAACAATTGACTTTCACGTAAATTATTTCATGTAGGTTATCTCACAACAATTTTATAAAATAGATTGCTTATGACAATTACTATCCTCATTTTGTAGTGAAGGATACTGAGGTTCAGAAATATTTTAAATAGCTAACATTTTATGGACTGTATATTTTGTGCCAGGCAGTGTTTTAAGCACTTGACATGTTCTGATTCATTTGATCTACATAGCACATGCAGGAAATGAATGCTATTATTATCATCTTCATTTTATAGATTAAATCTTGGAGAAACAGAGAAGTAAAGTAATCTGTCCAAAGCTAACAATGAGCAAATGATGGAGTCAGGTGAGAAACCACTCATTTCAGTTCCAGATCAGTGCCTAACCATTGCATGTTTCTGCCTAGCAAAGGTTCAGCAACTTGCCCAGGAAATTTGTTAAGTGTTGGGTTGTAAATTAGAGCCATTGAAGTGCTTGGTTGTAAGTTCTCTCACTGTATTTTACTTTATTCCATATCATATTTCACTATATTGTATACTTCTCATCTTTCTCCTAATGGAATGTGAATTTCTTTAATGCAGAGAAGATCACATGATTCCTTCTGTATGGAGATTACACTCTATTCTCTCTGGACATTCTCCTAATGTAAGAGGAAGCTATTAAAATATATTGAGTCAAAAATGAAGAACTCTGCAGTCTTTATAGGCCTGAAGAATTACAACTGGAATTTTGGTGATGTAGAAAGAGTTGGCAAAGGGAAGAAGACAATGATTAAACCAAAAGGGGGAAAATAATTGATAAAATAGGAAAGAACAAGATAACAAACAGTAGTGTTTATACTGCTCTTTCCACTTCCCAGACACTTTTCATGGGTTGTGCCATTGTGATCTTTATTTTATGAATGGGAAGACTGAGGGTCAGTTATATGACCTTCTCATATATACATATGTTCTTAGATGCATGTATAAAAAACAGGAAGAAAGACAGTGACCTGCTAATCTGAGGATCCTCTGTGGCTTTCTCAGGATGTGTATTGCTTGATTTTCATTAGATATTTTCTGTTCTATACTCCCTGTACTACTGACTTGTCTTCTACCAGTCCAGTCATGGTACCAAAATGATCCTTCCAAAATCCTGCTCCTCTGCTATACTTTAGTGTCTCTTAAGAGCAAAGTGACATGATACATGAAAAGTGTCTGGCATATAGAAAGGGCTATAGATTTCATGTGTTGAAATTGAATCCCCATTGGGAGGTGGAAACTTAATATGACTATGGTGTTTAGAAGTGTGGCCTCTGGGATCTGATTAGGATTAGATAAGTTCATTACCATGGGGTCCCCATGACAGCATCTTGGTGACGTTATAAGAGAGACTGGAAGATATATGCACACACTCACACCCACCCTGTTTCTTGCCATGCTATGTCCTGAGCCACCTAAGCACTCTTCCATAAAAAGTCCATTTACCAGATGCAGCCCACAACCTTGTACCTCTGGAACTGTAAGTAAACTCTTTTGTCTTCATAGAGTACATAAAGGCATTTCAACATAATAACAAAAAGGACTATTACATCCTCTTTGGTTTAAAACATTTGATTGTTCCTTATTGTTTACAGGTTATGTGGCCTACTGTACAGCTCTGCTTTACATTTTTATCTTCATTTCAGCCACTTTCCTCAGATCTTTTAATATGATTGCTTTAAAATCCTTTTCATTCCAGGATGGACCACATACTAACTCTTTTGTGACTTTATCCATGTTGTTCTCTCTGCCTCGAATGTTCTTCTCTCTCTTTTTTTTCCCAGTCATCCTGTAGGATAAAGTTCAAATGTATTACTTGCTGAAGGCTTTTTATGAATCTATGGGTGAAATTAACATATTGTCTCATTAATATTAACTACATTTTTAAAAACAGCAGCAGCTAACATCTACTGAATGCTTAAGTGCTCCAATTCTATTACTACTGATGAATAAAAAGAGATTCAGTGATGTTTTGGTCAACTTTTCTTGTTGCTGTGACCAAAAGACTTGAGAAGAACAATTTTAGAGGAGGAAAAGTTTATTTGGTGCTTACAGATTTAGAGGTCTCAGTCCATAGACAGCTAGCTCCGTTCTTCAGGGTTCGAAGTAAGGCAGAACATCGTGGTTGAAGAGTGTGGTGGAGGAAAGTAGCTCATGACTACCAGGAAAGGAGGGTGGGGAGAAAGTGGCCCTCTCACCATGGACAAAATATAAACCCCAAGGGCATGCCCTCATTGACTCACATCCTTCAGCTAAACCCTACCTGCCTACAGTTATCACATAATTAATCCCTACAGTAGATTAATGCACTGATTAGGTTAAAGCTTTCATAGCCCAATCATTTCACCTCTAAACTTTATTGCATCATCTCACACATGAGCTTTTGAGGGATACCTCATACTAAATCCTAATAAGAGACTTTGTATAACTGCCCAAGAAGATTTGGGTGGTAAATTGTCAGATCCAACTACCCAAACCATTAACTTAATCACTTTCTTTGTTTCTGCCACTGATACCATATATTAGAGTGCATGTTTATTTATCTCTCTCTTCAATAACAAGAATTTCAGAAAGGCAGCTATTGGTTTGCTTTTGTGTTCTTTATGCAAAAGAGCAGAAATAGCTTTTTATGCATGATGAGAAGGAGCTCTAAACATAGTTAAAAGACTAATTGGATATCACACATTACTCATTCTTTAGGCTACATTTTCCTCACTTGGACCACTTTATTTTAGGCCACAGATCAGCATTGTACTACTTCACTCTGTTCTCCCACTTTAATGGTTTCTAAAGTCACTATTCATAAAATTGACCAGCTTGACAACAGTTTACCTATGAACATATTTATTTACCACCTTTAAAAGGCTTGAATTGAAAAACTATACCCTAGACATGATCTCTATAAAACTTAGAATGCAGGCACTCTCATTGCTGTTTTATATTTTGAGTTGAATCAGAACTGGATTTAATCTTATTATTTTTTTTAATTTTTATTTTTTGTAGTTGTTGATGGACAGAATGCTTTTATTTTATTTGTTTATTTTTATGTGGTGCTGAGGATCAAACCCAGTGTCTTGTGCATACTAGACAAGCGCTCTGCTGCTGAGCTACAGCCCCAGCCCCAAATCTTATATTTTTGATAGGCACAAACTTCAATATCACAATGTCAGAATGTTCCCTTCTCTTTCTTTGAATTATCCAAGAATTCTGCAGATTTTCAGAGTCCTTGAAGAAGTTACATGGCCACTATTTGCCTTTAAGAACTTGGTGTCTTGGGTCTTCTGAGGTCTTGTGGCATTGTTTCCTATCACCGTGTTCCACTGCACAGAACTCTAAGCCCGGAAGATCCTTTTGAATGAGAGTGATCTCACCATAACTCAGATCTTGGCACTCATCCTTTAATATCATATAGCACCCAAGAAACCCCTACATATGCCAGGCTGGAAGGTACCTTCCATCTCATAATCTAGTGTCCTACATTTGACCTCTGAGAATTCACTCACAAGGGCCAGTAGTCTTCCTTTTCCCTGGCTACACACAAAGGACCCATTTTCTTCCTTCCTGTGACAATAGAGCTTGTTTGTTATTAAAGGGTTGAGACTATTGAAAAATGTAATGTCTGCTTACTTCCGTATTCTGGTGAGGGAAACATCTCCTTTCCTTCACGAAGATCCCATTTTTGAAGGACAGAATAGTAAATTTCATGCATTTCTTGCTAAGGCAGCAATAGCCAAGCACCACTTGTCTTTGGCAGGCTATCCTGCTAATTGGTGAAGTTTTTAGGGGACACCCTGTTTAAAAAAAATGCCAAAACTTACTTGTACATACAAGTGAGAGTTTTTCTCTCTAAAGGAGCCACTTTCTCTATTATAATTATTCAACCATTGTTCATTTTTTTGAATTCTTTTTTAGTTTTTTTTTAGAGCCTACAGTCCAATTTTTTTTTATTACTCCCAAAGAGAGCAAATATTTATACTTGAAAATGGATTTGATTTTGGAAAGAGCCCAATGTTATTTGGCTTAGTGTTCTAAGTAAAATCAGTGTGAAAAGCTGTTTTTGGTTCAAATGGAGGCAAAACTATAATGTAATGACACTGATTTGTGAGTCTTACCAAATCCAAAAGGGGATTTCCAAATATAGTGTCAGTGATGGAGTATTAGGGCAGTAAGTATTATCACCTCCAAATCTGACTACACTAGCAATGTCACAAATTTGAATAGAAATATCATGGTGTATTTATGAACAACCAGTCCTGTTCCTATCTTAAAGGCACAGTTTGCAATTATGTCCCAAATTCTGGCTGAAAATCTCTAATAATGGGCTAATGCTTCTTAGATTCATTGTAAGGGTGAATTCCTGAGTTGGTGTTCAAATCAGATTTAGGAATACTGGCATAAGTCCTGAGAATCAGCATTTCCCACCTGCTCCCAGCTGATGGACCAGGGACATCTCTTAGCATATCAATTCCTTGGACTCCTTAGCCCTGTTAAGCAAGTTACATTGGTTTAAATTGAGTATTGCTACTCACATTAAGCTACACATGGGTTAGTTTGTTCCTTGGAAAAATGTTTGTGCTCATGTACATATGAACTTTGCCTTAGAACAGAATTTTCTATGTACTCTATTGATGTAGAAACAGCAAAGACCCCGTGCCATTTTACTTACATTGGATATTTATTTATTCAGAATATAACAGATATTTCTATTGGAAAAATAGTAAAGCACTTTAAATATTTAGCCTAACTAATCATTACATGGCAGATATCATCACATATGAAAAATCAAAGTACATTTTGATATATTTAAAGTTGATATTTTGGATATGACAATTTTTGAAACTGATGTAACAGAAGTTTTGCTAGCTAGCTAAAAACAAAACCCTATTTCACAACTAAAATGTAAACAGCTAATATGTAATCAGAAGACCAAATTTCACAGCTACAAAAAACACAGCTGTGAAACATAACTTTGGAGTGTAAGAAAGCCAAATATCTTTGCATGCTAATAATGGATTTTACAAATGAAAATGAGAAAGACTGTGCTAGAAATTTTTAGTGTTTAAATACCTTCACTCCTGTTATCTGTTTAATGGAGAATATTCTCAAGTACTTGCCATATATTTATTTTTTTGAATGTCTACTCTGTTAATCTTGCTAGGAACTAGAAAAACAGAGATGTGCCTGTTGTGTTTACTTTCTCAGTTTTGTGATAAAACTTTTGAATTGTGACACTTTTGGATTGGGGGAGTTAGTGGACCTGTTTATTTACTAAATTTTTCTGCACATTTTTATCATCTGTAAAAGAAGGTATGTGAACTAGAGAACTACATATTTTAAATGTTTTCTTAAGTTTTGAAATTCTCTGTATATATTTTTTTGATCAGACCAAAGGCATTTTTCAGGGAAATATATTGACAGGGTGTTGTAGTGATCCTTGCCACAGATGGTGAGAGAAAGATATTGTACTTTGGTATGTCTGACACAAGAGGTTTGGGTTATGAAGTTTATATAAGAGTTTAAGGAATTTGTCTCAGGTGAAGGGATAGTTTCAACACGTTTAGCAAAAGGGACAATCTCTTAGTGTTTCTTTTGGGGAAAAGTCTAAACAGGTTTCTAAGTGCATAGGAATTTTCAAGGCTCAGTCTTGGGTTTCAGCCTTAATGGAGAAGACAAGTAATTGGGAGCTGTCAAGGCATTCTGTGTTTCTAAGTCAGATCACAGAAAGCAAGGAGGAAGGCCTTTGAGTAGTGGGGTGGAGGTAGATGTGCATGTCTGAAAGTCCTACAATGCTTGAAAAGAATGTGTGTTCCCTGATAATTGATTGCATAGTTTAGTGAAATTCATTAAACTAATTTCATTAAATTTATTTTGATAAATTTCTATATCTATTAATTTTATCTAATTAGCTCATTAGTATTTAAAAGAGGCAGGTAAGTCTCTCTTAATCATTTTGATTTCTCAATTGAAATTCTATTTTTTTTTAACTTCACATTTTGTAAGTAGATAGATCTATCCTAGTAGCTACCTCCATATTCTTTGATTGTAGTATTTGAAAACCTAAGGTCTTTTAAAATTTAGAATCTAGAATAATTATTTAGAGCAAAGTTTAGTAAACTGTGGTCTGTAGGCTGTTGGTCTGTTCAGCCCAATGTCAGTTTTTGTAAAAAACTTTTATTTGAACACAGCCGCATTTATTTATTTATATATTGTTTATGCGTACTCTCAAGATACAATGGGAAGACTGAGTAGTTGTGACAGATTACATGTGTTAGTAAGCTTTTTGTTGCTGTAACCAAAATAACCTCCAAGAACAACTTACAGGTGGAAAAGTTTATTTTGGTTTGTGACTTCAGAGATTCAGTTCATGCGTGGTCAACTCTATTGCTATGGAACCAAGGTAAGACTGAATATCATGGGAAGGAGAATGGCAGTGGAAGAAAGTTGCTTACCTCATGGCAGCTGGGAAGGACAGAAAGAGAGAGAGAGGAGCCAAGGGGACAAGAGAAAATCCCCCAGGGCAGACTTCTAGTGACCCACCTCCTCCAGCCATGCCCCACCTGCTCACAGTGATGGTACAACACAGTAGTTCTTTCAAATTAGATTACAGATCTCATCATCTAATCATGAGCTCTTGGGGGACACCTCATATCCTAACCATAACTATTTATTTTCTAAAACATTATATAAAAAAATTTGTTGACCTCTGATCTAGCTAAATAATCTTTTGAATCAATAAACATGCTTTTCTTCAAGTACTTAGAGGATTATGAAGTTGGTTCATTATGTTAGCAGTGTAACAGGAGCTATGGTATGGAAGATATGCCTGGGTCATATAAACCAGCTTCTGATTTTTGGTTTTGGGTTGTCCAAAAGAGAACTTACTTGGGTTTAATTTACAGAGGCCAGCAGGATCTGCATCAGATAAAAGTCACATCTGCTGTCATGGGAGAAACAAGAATGTGAGAGGGTCAGAGGGACACTCTTTGAGCCTGATAAGATTCATCCTCAGCGACTCAGACAGGAACATTTTCAACCAATATGAGGACCTCTGTAATAAAAGCCTGCTAAAAAAAAGCCATGAACTTTTTTGTTAAGTTGTTCTTTTTTTAAAAAAATTTATATATGACAGTGGAATGCATTACAATTCATATTACACATATAGAGCACACATTTTTCATATCTGTGGTTCATGTCTTCATACATGTACTTTGGATAATGATGTCCATCAATTCCACTATCATTTCTAACCCTATGCCCCCTCCCTTTCCCTCCACCCCTCTGCCCTATCTAGAGTTCATCTATTTCTCCTATGATCCCCCTCCTTACCCCACTATGAATCAGCCTCTTTAACCATATGCAACAAAATAAAATTAAACCCTTATCTCTCACCATGCACAAAACTCAACTCAAAATGGATCAAGGACCTAGGAATTAAACCAGAGACCCTGAGTCTAATAGAAGAAAAAGTAGGCTCTAATCTCTATCATGTGAGATTAGGCCCCAATTTTCTTAATAGGACTTCCATAGTGCAAGAATTAAAATCAAGAATCAATAAATGGGATGAATTCAAACTAAAAAGTTTCTTCTCAGCAAAAGAAACAAACTATGAGGTAAACAGAGAGTCTACATCTTGGGAGCAAATTTTTACCCCTCACACATCAGATAGAGCACTAATCTCTAGGATATACAAATAACTCGAAAAGCTACACCAAAACAACAAATAACCAATCAATAAATGGGCTGAAGACCTGAACATACACTTTTCAGAAGGTGATATACAATCAATCAACAAATATATGAAAAGATGTTCATCATTGCTAACAATTAGAGAAATGTAAATCAAAACTACTCTAAGATTTCATCTCTTTCCAGTTGGAATGGCTGCTATTATGAATACAAACAACAACAAGTGTTGACAAGGATGTGGGGAAAAAGGTACACTCATACACTGCTGGTGGGGCTGCAAATTGGTGTAGTCAATATGGAAAGCAGTATGAAGATTCCTTGGAAAATTAGGAGTGGAATCACCATTTGACACAGCTATCTCTCTCCTTGGTCTATACCCAAAGGGCTTAAAAATAACATACTACAGGGACACAGTCACATCAATGTTTAACAGCACAACTCACAATAGCTAAACTGTGGAACCAACATAGATGCCCTTCAGTAGATGAATGGATAAAAAAAAATGTGGCATATATACACAATGGAATTTTACTCAACAATAAAAGAGAATAAAATCATGGCATTTGCAGGTAAATGAATGGAATTAGAGAAGATAATGCTAAGTGAAGTTATCCAATCCCAAAAAAGCCATGAGCTTTTTTAATGCCAGAATTTTTGAGGTATTATTTCACAAGAAATAGAGGTCAAAGTTTTACACACTCATGAAGATTAAATAGTCACTTGCTCTGAAGAACAAACTGTGTTGTATTTGAAAGAAAACAAACCCTCCCTGTGATAAGGCATGCAAATCTTCAAGTATTTAGAAGGGAGGTGAGTTTTGACATTGCTAGAGAAAAGTGTCCTGATTGACCTACAATATCCACTCTTGGCATGGTCCACTGGCTCAGAGGAAGGTTAAACAGAGATCGTCTTATTTGAATTCCCAACCAAGTCTAAGGTGGTGGAGTTTGCAAAACAGAGGAAACCAGGTCTGCGTCTCAGGACTTGTGACAGAAAGATAGGTGTATCTTGTGTGGAGAGTGGCCTAAAGAAAGGGTGACTGAAGGGTGACCCAATGACAACTGGGAGAAAGATGAGGGAAAGGAGAGAGTATGAACAAAAAACACCTTTCTAAGGCCTGCATGGATAGATCTTTCTCCCCTCAGATAAAACCAAAATATTAAATGTAGAATTTAATGATCACTACATTATATTTCATGCTGTTTTGGAACACCCCTTGAACATTTGGTAAAAGAAAACTGAAATGCACATGTGATCGTAGTTAGTGTCGGTTGGTAAAAAGGGTTCTGGAATGGTTATCAGTCTAAATTGACAAGAGTACCAAATAGGCTATTTTGTAAACCACCAGGAAAGGGTTGTCCAGCCTGAAAGATTATGTGTTCTTGTTCTCTGTTTTATCTTGGGATGGAAGTTAGATGCCTCCTCTACTGGATGGAGAAGAGTCCTGCTCCCTATTCCATATTAACTAAAACTCTCAATTGGAGTAGACATTATCAGGCATTTGAGACTAGTAGAACTTAATTGAAATTTTCTTTCTGAAGTAAATAAAAGATTTAAAATTTTATAAAAATAATTTTGTTTTTGAGAGAAAACAAAATATCTTCTATCAACAACAAATTAACTTCTTTTTAAAATTTATTCCTCTCAATTTTTTTTCTTTCTGTTATGGATACCAATAACTATGATGCAATCAAGAAGAATAAAAGTATACCAAATTCTTTTCACTTAGAAATATTTAAAAATTATTTTCTGAGTTTCAGATAGTTTTGGGAAAAGGTTAAATCTGATCCAGGCATCTGGGTTCCATTATCTTTTTGATCTTCTCCTCACCTGTTGGGTCAGTGTGACTAAGATGACAGCCCAACTACAGGCACTAATTACACACTAGTGGGATCAACACAGTAGGCAGAATATGTTGAAATGTCTATGAGAGTTTTTCCACATGCTAATGGGTTCTGAGGACAGGTTGATAATTCATATGTTTTTGTATCTAGGTAGAGGTTGACCCTCAAGCAACAGATAATTTAAAAAATCAATTTAATAAAAATTAGCCAAATAAATTAGAATATGTTACTAAGAAGAAAATATTATATAGATCTATATATAATTGAAAATATTTAGATATCTGGAACTAAAAAAATTGCAATTTTGTATGCTTTAAGCTAATATATAACTGATACCTTGAACTTCTTTTTCCCCCCCTTTTTCTATTTATCCTATTGCAGATTTACCAAAGAAGAAAAAATAAAAACATTCCTTTCTCCACTTTTGAAAGATGTATTCATATTAAAAGTGCTCATAGTATTTCTAAAAATTTTAGCTATCTTTACTGGTTTTCTCTTACCAAGTTTTCTGTTTTTGTTTTTTAGATCCACTAATGACCAAGAGGAAAGATGGACACATGCAGTTATTTTGAGCTGATTTTAAGATGGAAAGAGCAGATTTTCCTAGCCCTAGAGGGGCTTTCTCAAAATACAGAGAAAGGTCATGGGTCGCATTAGGTAGAGGTGGGCAGACATGGGCTACCTTCTCATGCAGGATCCTGTGAAGGGTCAGGGCCTCTTGGGCACTGGTGAGTGATTGCAGGTCTTTGAATCTTGTAGGAGAAAGACTCCATGCTCAAGCTTTAGAAGTTGTTTTAGAATGGATGATATGGAATTGGTGATCATCACCACACTCAAGGATAGTGGTTTTTCCTCAGATTTTCTGGCTAATACTATTATATGCTTATATGAGTTTGGGAAGGACTCCTAAACAAAATTTAACTTGAAATTTCTCCTTAACTTCATCAGGTGTGGGCAGAGCCAGCTTAATCTTATTATATGCACATGCACACACCTCTGAGTGTCATAGAGGAAATTTATGCTTTTTACCTGAATTTGGTACAACTCAGATCAGAAAATTGACTGGATTTTCTACTTTTCAAGGAGTTACTTTGCATCATAGAGACACAACTTATACTCATCCTTTCACATGCTTTTATTAGGTGAGTATCTCATAACTTTTCATTTATGATATTCTTCCCATTCCTCTAATTTACCTTTAAAAAATCCAGAGTAAAAAAGTGGTGGCAATAAAACTTGACACAATGCTGAGCATTCTGTAAAGTGTCAATAAAAAACTGAAAGAGTGATAGAGAGGAAAGGATCTGGTTTAGCACATAAAGCTCACCCATTCTGCCATTTATTTTATTTTATTTTTTTTTATTTTTGGTACATGGTTGATCCTAGGAGCACTTAGCCACTGAGCCGCATCCCCAGCTGTTTTTTAATTTTTTAATTTTGAGACAGGGTTTTGCTAAGTTTCTTAGGGCCTCACTAAATTGCTGAGTATGGTTTTGAATTTGCAATCCTCCTGCCTCAGCCTACCAAGCCCCTGGGATTGCAGGTTTGCACCATCATGCCTACTCATTCTGTCATTTAAAAATGCATTACTTTCTAGCTTTCTGTCTGTTTAGAATCATTTTAGCATACAATCTTTGGATGATTTTACTTTGCTCTTAAAAATTGATTTTTTCATTTTGGTTTAACTCTTTTGCTCCAGGTACCAACTTCTTTTAAACTCTTTACTATGTCTTTTAGTCAAGCTATATATATATATATATATATATTTTTTTTTTTTTTTCCCTATCCGGCCATTAGTGAATGTTAAGCTGGGTGTGCACTGAGTGTCATGGTGAATATGTTCCTAACACATGGTGCTTCCTTGTTTAGGTTCTTGGTTTGTGATTCTTCATTCAGTTTTGAATTTTTGTAGTTGAGCATGCATTTATTATAATTGATCTTAATAAATCAAGATAGACCTAGTAAAGATATGAAGTTTATGTGTGTTATATTGTATTGTAATTGTTATTCAGACGGAATATTCACGATTAGGCTGCATGTCCACCTTGAGTAAAATATAGGACCATAGCATGGCTGGTTGAGTTTTTTTCACTGGTTTTCTTAACTATAGTTTCTGTTGTGTGGCTCATATGTGGTGAGTTTTTCTTAAGTACTTACTGGAATACCTAAAATAGATAATATTTTTGGTCCAGATATAAGGAGTAGTCTAGGAAAATGACCACTGTACTTCCATTTCTTGGTCATTTTAACTTTTTTTTATAACAACAATGGACTGAATATTTATTATTGGATGTTCTAAGAAATTCAAGAAAGATAGCAGTCATAATCACATTGACTCAATTTTTCTATCTGGTTCTCTCTGAATGTGTTGTATAGACATAGCTTGTGTTCATCCTATTTCATTTTTCAAACTTGTATATTTTTGCAGGAAGGAAGTTTTGTTTCTGGCACAAAAGGTGGTTACATATGTGGATGATTTATGGGGTATCCTGAAGTGCCTTGACAAAGATGATTCTCCACTATTTCCTTAATTTCCACCATAAGTGATTCATTTCCACATACTAAATATTTTTTCCAGTTGTTGTCCTCTCTTAACAATTTAGTGTGAATAATTTTTATCAGATTTTTTTTAATCGGGGATTGAACCCATAGGCACTTAACCACTATCAGATTTCTTTATTCCTACTTCACATAGATTCAAGCAGTATTAATGATGTTCAAGTTAATGAAAGAGGACAGGAGAGGACACAGAAAGAGGAAGACGGAGGGGTATTTATCATGTTACTTTACTGTATAAATATTTCAAATATCTATTGTTAGAGTTATATGTTTTCTTTCTTCAAAAGAAACCAAAAATGAGCCCTGGGAATGTAGCTAAATGGTAAAATGTTCAAAGCATGCATGAGACTTTGGGTTCCAGCATCATACAAATACACAATAATTATGATAAAAATCATTTACAAATGAGGCATGAATTAATCATCGGACATTTTTTTCCTGCTATATCATATGGACTCTATTACTGGATTTTAAAGAAAGATTTTCTTTGATAGTGCAGATGTGGTCCACATTTGGTGTGAAATTAACTATAGACTATCAATGACTTGAAGGTGCATAGGTACATCTTTCAATATTAGCATAATGAATATATTCAGAGAATTTTCCTCTTATATTATTCTTTTATTATCTAACTCTTCTAATATTTTATTGTTGTTTATTTAACTATTTTCTAATTTCACTGTTTGTTCTAGTTGGCTATGAGGGTAGTTTAGTGATAGAGCACCTGCTTAGCATGTACAAGGCCCCGAGGTTTGATCCCTAACACCACCAAAAAAAAAAAAAAAAAAGAAAAAAAAAGTCTCAATTCTTATTTTTAACTTTAAAAGTTGTAAATGGATGCATTCCAATAAGAAAACATCACTATATTCACCAAGGATTAATTCAGAATATTTCATAAATATGCTAAGTATTTTTTAAATAAATGTTTTATATTCATCTGGTGGGAAATATACCAAAAGATTCTAATTTAGCATCTCATTAATATTGGTCCCAATCAAAAATCTCACATTTCCCTGGATCAAATAGAATAATTCTCCTTGTCCTTCTTCTTCCATGTTGAAATGTGTCAGTGGAAATGTACTTTTTGCTGTAAACTTTGGAGTATGTTTCCTGTGAGCACTGTAGTAATCAACAGTTTCCCTGGGATACTCTTTGCCACTCTGGAGGAAGAACAATGTTTCACCCATCTTTCTGACTCCAGAGCCAGGCAGCATGTCCAGTACACTTCAGGGGCATTCCCTGTGATGTGCTATATCAATAGCCTAGTGGAAGTAAATAAGCATGATTAGGTAGATACATATAGCATGGGTGACAGCAAGCGCTCCATGAAAACTTAGTGATGCTATCTGTATTTTAGACTATTCTTATGACAAAACTGCACAAGGAAATAATAGAGATTTGAATAAGCTTGCTTAAAGAAGGTTTATATTAAAATAATTTGGCCTTTATGACTCATTTTTGGAGAACAATTTAAAAGCCAGAGTGATACGTTGGGAAGTTAATTGTTTAAAAAAATGTATCTGACTCGACTAGTTTTTCATCTACTATCTGGTATTGTTAGTTTCATATGTACATAAGTATTACTCTTTCAACTAGATTGTAAATTTGTTGAGTACATATGGGTTCTTAGAAGCTTTCGTTTCTCAGATGTGGTAAAGGGTCAATAACATTTACTTATTTGGGGGTTCATGACTCACTGAGTGGTGTATAAGATCTTCTGCATGTTTGTATAAATGTAAAATTGGGAGAATAATAACTTTTCTATGCTATTCAAAAAGTTTGTATTCACATTTTGAATCCTGTAAGAAGGATTTTGTAAGTTAAAATAAGCATGTGAATTTTTAGCAGTTTTACAACTATTTTAACAGGTGTACTTGAAGACTAAGTTATGAAATCTTCTGGTTTTTGACTGACATTTATATCCTCGTTGTGCCATCCCTAGTATCTTGAGAATGATGTGCAAGATGTCTGAACCCCTATTTCTTCTCTTATAAATGGAATTTGCATTTTTTTTCTCATGGTATTGTTGTGAGGTTAAATGTGATGCCATGTGTAACCCAACACGTGGTAGATGTTAAACTAAGGTGAGCTTCTCCCCTATCTAGGATTTCTGTCTAGTTCTCATGATCTCTTTCTCTCTTTCTTCTGTAATACTGGGGATTAACCCAGGGGTGCTCTATACTGAGTTACAACCTCAACTCTTTTTTTAAAAAAATTTGAGACAGCTGCTTGTGGCCTTACTAAGTTACCCAGAATGGCCTCAAATTTGCAGTTCTCCTGTGTCAGGCTCCAGAGCTGCTGGGATTACAGGTGTGTTCAACCATGCTCAGCTCTCATGGAGGTCTGACCAATTTCACAGCCTCAAATAAAATGGATCTCTTTAGTCAGTATTTCTTTTTTTTTTGTTATTCTTTTTTTAAAAATTATTGGTTGTTCACAACATTACAAAGCTCTTGGCATATCATATTTCATACATTAGATTCAAGTGGGTTATGAACTCCCATTTTTACCCCAAATACAGATTGCAGAATCACCTCGGTTACACATCCACATTTTTACATACTGCCATATTAGTGACTGTTGTATTCTGCTACCTTTCCTATCCTCTACTATCCCCCCTCCCCTCCCCTCCCATCTTCTCTCTCTACCCCATCTACTGTAATTCATTTCCCTCCATGTTTGTTATCCCATTCCCCTCACAACCTCTTATATGTAATTTTGTATAACAATGAGGGTCTCCCTCCATTTCCATGCAATTTCCCTTTTCTCTCCCTTTCCCTCAAGTCAGTATTTCTGAATGTGCTCCAGGCCTATTTCCATCTTCTGGAGATTCACACATTATATCCTCACTTGCCCCTAATTCTTGACATTACCTAAACTGAATTTGACTATTTAACCCATTCCTCCTTCCAGAATTCTTTATGTGCTACTGAAATCACCATTCTGTAACAATTAGGAGCACTTAGGTATGGGTTGGTTTATGACTTTCTTTCTCTTATTCTCTGCATTTATGAACTGATTTATATATTAAAGTAAGACAGCTCTCTTCTCTAAACCTTGAAAAATGTCTTGCTAAGGTTGCTCAATGAAATCAATGTCTGTAAGTTTGGTCCTAGATTTTTCTTACCATCTCCAGGACCAGGGTCCTCTCCTTAGATTACGCTGGCAAACACTGACTCACTCTTCTCTGGCTTTTTCTTGTACGTTCCTGGTCACAGACTCCAATTTGAGAATACTTTTATAATTTGGACAGCATAATACCACTGATTAAATGATACTTACTTGGTAACAATAATTTTCCAGGCTTGCCGCCTGGATCAACATTCTGGGTGAAACTTGGTTTCTCCTATGTCTCCTAATCCACATGATTGCATGCACATATTTCACTTGCCAAGATTAAAAATGAAATTCACCTCTTATGAGCTGATGATTCCTAGTTTACTTTGAGGGAACTTATACACAATAGAGCCAGTCTGTCCATGGTATTCTATTTATTTTAGCTCATGTATTTGTCTTTCATACATCCCATTACTCCTTGATCCATTGTCATTCTCTTAGAAGTTATTACCTCTCACTAGCATCATTGAGATAGCCTCTGGTAACAGGCTCCATTTGACTGAAACTGACAGAAAAACAAACAAAAATAGCTGAAATTACAATGACTCAATCTTCCTTCTATATCATGATTGTAAGTAGGAGTTTCCATGACTACTTCTGTAGTTCTGCAGTGTCAAGGCTCTGAACTGGCTTCCTGTGACTTTTTTGATCTTCCCCTCATGATCATAAAATAACTGTGGTAACTCCAAGCATTAGATCCTCACAGGACAGCATTTAATACTAGGAAGCAAGAGGATTCCTCCTCATTTTTTTTTTTAAATCAAGTAGAAATGGCTTTCTCAGATTACCTTTAGGAGTGGGTCACCTACCTGTGGGTTTTATTATTATTATTATTCTTTCTTTTTAAATTTATTTTTCTAACTAATTTTACAAGACAGCAGAATGCATTTCAAACCTGTGTCTTAGTGCAAGTGTAAATAGGATGTGAATATCTGCTATTACTGATCCCGATATTGTAAGAAAGAGAAGATCAAAAAAGCTCTCAGGTAGACATTTAAATCCATCTTGCTTTTCTGCTTTCCTTCAGTACATTTCTAAAAGAAATGTCATCACCATGGTCGGGTCTTAGACCAGTAACTTTTATTGCTAGTGAATGTGGTTAAATCCAGCTCACTTTTCTCTTTAGCTTATCTCCTACTCTACTCTCCCATGGGTGATTTAGTGGATCCAGAACTGTCCTGGCCCATACCTATATCCATGTTTATGAGACTTTCACCTCTGGAGTCTCTTCACCACCATTTCCCACTGAATGCTGACTTGGACACCAATGCTCATCCCTAAGGCTGCCTTCTTCAAGAAGACTTCCTCTTACCCCCTATCACTTGTGATTCCTCTTTTCTTTCAGTTTCTTGCTACACTTTCTGTGTACCATGGAACCTGATCACTCATGGAGTTAGCATCAAAAATTTGATTACTCATAAGACCCCACAAAAGTACAATTCAAAGGCATTTTGTACATTGCTGAGGTGTGATCCAAATATCCTCTGCTGCAAAGCTGTGTGGAGGAGTGAATTTTCTCACTGAACATTGAGTCATGCGCTACTTAGGATATAGACCTTCACGAGGCTTCACTGTTTTTCCTTGTTGTAATATATAGGCAGTATGTGCTGTGACTCATTAAAAGCTTTGCTCCACCATGAAAACTGGTTGTTAATGGAGAGACAAAACTTCAGATGAATGCTGAAAAGGTAGTTAATTTCTGTCTGTAGAGAAGTATAGGAAAAGCGTCATTCACCAGGAAACAATGTATCTGGTAGCCAGGAACCTGGGAGGATACTTGTACATTCTTGATAAGATGATATATTATTTATTGCAATTATGTATTACAGTTATTTGTGCACAAGACCACTTGGAGACAATAAGCTTTCAGAAAGCAGGTAGAAATCATGTCATATTGGATGGTGGCTTTCAAGACAAAAGATTTGAGATTAAGTTATAACTCTGCCTGTTCTCCATAACTGTGTGACCTTGGGTAAGATACTTGATAATGTGGGTCTTTTGTTTTCCCTCCTGTACAGTGATGGTAAGAACATCCACCTCACAGAGAATATAGAGCTATTAAGTAGAATAATACCTGGGAAATTGACTTGTAAACTGTTAATACCATAGCTCATTAAGTGATTACCATTATTTATATTCCTGCAACATCTATCATGAGAGCAGATCCTCAAAAATTATTTATTTAGTGAATGATGCAATGAACAAATGAAGGAAAAGCTACATTAACAATCTGCTGGTAAGAAAAAAAATACTCTTCTTTCCATAAGACTGTCTCTGAGGTTCTGAGGCATTTATTTCTGTGCATTACTAAAATATGGAAATCAATAAAAATCATTACTAAGAATTAAATATCAGTAGATTATATCAACTTTGATATGAAGCTGAATTTCTTTTCTGAATATATTGACTATTCATAAACTGCTGGGCCTGCATTTTCAGTGTTTATGGTATTAGTGGAACCCTTCACATGCATCACAGCTTTGTAGTTCCTCTGGGACTATCTATTATTTCATGGATCCATTATCATCTATAATTCTCTTGAAAAACCTAATAAAATTTACTGGAAGATGCCTGTGCTGTGTATTGTCTTCAAACATAAACTTTCCCACATCTTTCTTGAATGTTGGCTTTTCAGAGGGTGTGGTATTACTGAAATGTTAGCTCACTTGTGCTGCAGATTTACACCTCTCCAAGGTAAGGAACAAGGCACTGCTGTGCTGGTGAGACAGGGATTTGGGAACCATGAGAATCTGTGAATAACTTCACACTACTGCTGGGTCAACCAAATCTAATATGCAACAATGCTATGAACCAGACTCAATGTGCATTAAATCATTTAATTTCAACTATGTCCAACTATAGAAAAAGAATGATCTTCTTCTTTCTGGAGAAAATGCATTATTCCAGTTAAATAATTTGCAGATATTTAGATCAAACAAAAACTAGTATATCATTGAAATCCTGGAACTGCACATGCCAGGTTGTTTCTCATAATTTTCCTGCCACTCTTTGAGCATTGTTCCTATGTTGTTAGCTTTCTTTAGTTCAAGTTGACTATTTTTTTTTTTCAAGAGGTCAATGTTATAAATTGGTGGGGTCACTAACTATTGTTCCTGCTCAGGGGTCTTAAATTTGTCCTGTTCTGTGTTCTTTGCTCCCTGCCAAATACATGGGGGTAGCATTCCCTCTACCACTCAGTATGTGTCCCAGTTTTCTATATTTGGAGCTATGAGTATTCTAGAGCACTGTGTTTATTTTAAGGTAGCCACAGTGGGGTGGTGGATATTTGAGGAACCAAACAGGCTTTTGACACAAGCAGACATCACTTTAGCTGGGCTGTAGCTGGGTGAGGTAGTATGTAAGAAGCGAGTGTGTGGATTTTTTCAAGTACCAGAGAATGGATCAAATACATAGGTCATGTTATATGCTAAATAATGCGTTCCAAAGATGTGAATGTCCTGACCCTTGCAACATGCAAATATTGCTATATATGGCAAAACAATTAAGATCTTGTGATAAGGAGATTATCCTGAATTATCCAGGTGGACCTTAAATGTAATCACAGGGATCTTCTTACCAGGGAGGCCAGAAGGTCAAAGGTGAATGGCAATGTGATGATAGAAGCAAGGAAAGGAAGATGGTGTGATTTGGGTCTTGAAGCAAGGAATGACAGCCTCTAGAAGATAAAGAAGACAAGGAATGGATTCGCCTTAAAGCTTCACAGCCCAATAGGACTGATTTTAGACTCCTGACATCCAGAGAATCAATTTGTGTTATTTTAAGTTACAGTGTTGTTATTTTGTTATATTTGTTATAACAAATACAGATGGATCTGGCTTACATGGACTGAGCTGTTCTGGGTGTTTGGTGCTGAGAACTTTTCTCCCTTCTCAGTCATGCATCCTAGCAGGCCTGTAAGCAGAAGCTCCTCTTTCACTGGTTTCTCTTGGGCAGCAACTGGTCCTTTCCTTCAGGCTAATTTCTGAGATTAGGCCCCAGGTGTTAGGAGGCTCTCCAATGAACCTCACCCTCCAGAGTCTCTTCATTCTTGTCTCTATCCCTTCACTTTATGAAGAGATTATTATTTTCTTCATTTTCTATCTCAGCAGATTTTGATGGCCTGTAAACTTTAGAACCAGAATCAGCTGCAGGAGTTATCTCCTTTTCTCAAAATCATGGAAGGCTTAATTTTCAAATGTTCTTTGGCGAAGACTAGAAATGTTTATAGTTCAGCCATCCAATGCAACAAAAAGAGGAAGGTAAACCAAGCAGTTGCATTTCTGCATGAAAACAAATAGAACACTTGTGCCATGCCACACAAGGGTGTTATGGAATCCCTGGGTGGCCTTGCTTACTTGTTGATATGGTATAGCTGGAATCACTGTTGGGTTGCAAACCCAACACCCAACTCCTCCTGGTCTATTCTTTGAACTTATAATTAAAGACAACTCCATACTATGGGCAGAGCTCTTATAAATAATTGTCCTCTGTAATTTCTTATCTTGGCAAAACTTAACCACAATCCAAATTTTATACTAAAAAATTGTGTAAAACAAGAGATTGCAAGTCAAAAGCAAGCATTATGTGAGAGTTGGAAAAAGTCTTATCTATCCAAAGCCATAATTTCCAAATAAAACTCCTTTCTGAGTTGGCAGCACATATGTCTAATTTAGGCCTATTTTGAATAAAAGTGGCTGAGTTATCAAAACTCCATTAACCTAATTTGTTTAAATGGAAGTAGTACCTCATGCTTGGCTTAAACAGAATTTGAATGAAAAGGGAGAAGAAATATCACTCTGTGTAATTAAGGTGGCAGACCCTACTCACTTATAAAAAGAGAAGATGTAAAGTCAACAAAAGATACTGTTTGGCTTTGAAAATGCTAAATAAATGGAAAATAGTCTAATGGTAACAATAATAGATATGTGATGCTTATTCATAATCTTTAAAATGCAAAAATGTCTCCCTATCTACCTCTTTTTTTCCATCATTGATGCACATCTCACTAAAATGCATAAATGAGTTTATTTTATCTTCTAGACTGTGGCCTATAGTATTAACTTCTGAGAGCCTTACTGTAACCTAAAGAAATCTCTGTCAATAACAATCATACATCTAAATGCTGCCAATTTGAAGCTTTATTACTAGAAGGTATATGCTCTAGAATTATCCTTGTCAGATCTAAGAAAGCAGCCAACTTTCCCAGCAGTCTCTTTTGCATGTCTGAACTTCTGTATCATTGCATTTCTAGGGCTGATAGTAATGGGGTGACAATTGCATGGTGCTCCCTCCTCTCTTCAATTCTGTTTCTAAGGGTCAGGATGACCTACAGTGTGACAAAATAAGCTAGTCATTCAGTTAAGCCAGGTGTCCTTTGAGAAAGCTAAGAAAAGGAATAACGGTGTCACAAAGTTATTAGTGTCCTATATATTATAAGCCATAAATGACAGCTCTGAACGAGGCTACCCTGCTTGGGAGTCTGCCCCTTCCTGCCAGAATCACCCCATAGCAGGCAGAAACTGACACATCATCAAATATCTGTGTTTGTAGATGAACAACAGTCCATTGGCATAGGAACTAGACTAGCTCTAAGAAGGTTGATTAACAATGGAAAAAAAAAGAAGATTAAAAATGGAACAAAGAAAAAAAATATATTTGGTGCTTCTTTGATTCAGGACACAAGATCCTTTATTCAGTATTATCACTGCCAGGCTATTTTTAAAAATTAAAATGTTTTGAATTGATGAAAATTTCTATGGATGTTGGCAAGTATAACTAGAACCATGATGGTTCATAAAATCCTGTTTACCATCTCCCAGTATGTGAAAAACCAATAAGTGTAAAAAGAACCAAACAAAAACTCACAACAAATAGCAGATTACCCATCCCATGTTGGAGTTGGTTGACCTTAGCAGCTCTTAAAATTCTCTAGTAACTGGATTCTTCTGATGACTGCTGTATCAGCAAATATTTGTTAGATGAAGTACAGTTGATTATCTCAACCTGAGATTCTTTTTTTTTTTTTTTTGGAACAATCTCATTCATTCCTTTTATTCATTCATTGATTCTAACAAGACTTGGTGGTTACTGGGGGAAGCCCTGTTCTTTTTTTTTTTATTATTTCAAATGTCTTACTTTATTTTATTTTATTTTTTTACATTTGAATCAAATGGGGTATAATTTCTCATTTTTCCAAGTGTACAGGTTGCAGAATCACATTGGTTATACAGACACGTAGATTCTGATTCTGTGTCTAGTGAACATCTGTCCCATGGTCTGGATACCTTCTCCTCTGTTTTCTGTACATTATTAGGCCCAAACTGTTCTGTCTGCTCTCTCTTTCATCTCCAGGTCAGACCTGATCTTTCTGCTAGAGTGATGGAGCCCTCTCACCTGTGCTCACCTTGGAGTCTGTGACATAGGCTTAATGATGCTAATAGATTGGTATAGGGATAAGGTTTAAGGAAGGAGGAAGTAGGTCACAGGTATTTCTCCTGCTGGTCCTAAATCATCAGTGACCACTATGGTATCCTAGTCTTCTTGCTTAAGCTCTCAGTTCTTTATACCTGGAGATAATTTTGTGATTTAAAAAATATTGTAAAATAAGTAATTATGAGTAGAGCATAATTCAAATAAGCTTCTCTGTTTCAGTTACATGAGTAACCTATCAGTCAGAATAGGTTAGGCTGTAGTAACAATCCTCCCCTTCTCCCCCAAATTTGAATAGTTTAGATCAACAAAGATTTATTTTCCACTAAATCTTTGTCATAATTTGACAAGGGGGTGTTGCTCTTCAGAGTCACTCAGGGACCTAGGTGACCAAAGTACCATTATAGTACATTTTACTAGATTGCCTTGAAACAAGATATGTGGTAAGTCATGCATCAGATTGCAAAGATTTCACTGGGAGTGACATATAACACTTGATCATATTTAATTGACCAAATCAAGTTTATGCTTATGACGGCTTTGTTTATCAGTATTTGTGAATAATCCTAATGAATCCTATAGGGGATCTTTGCCTTTTGGGGCTCCCAGATCTTAAGGTTATGCTCTGTCTTTCTTGTATTCCATGTCTTTCTCACAAATACTTTTCGTAAATGAACATAATTTTCTTATAAATGATGTTACTTCACACGAAATTATTCCCAGTGCAGCACTCTCCTCTTGCCTTCCTTTAACATAGACAAACAAAAGAGGTCAATGCCCTTTATTCTCTAACAATGTTTGTAGATTATTTTTCTGATTGTAGAAATTCAGTGGTCTCTCTTCTGTCTCTTAAATCCTTCTTATACCTGACCTAAACTCTGTAGTACCTTTTCCCCTACTCAATGAATTTAACTTATCCCTTATTATCATGTCAGTGACTATAGTTTCTTACCTCCCTGACATCAATGATTCCCAACTTCACTCCATCTTTGATCTATTTCAGCAATCTCTTACTCTGAGTATCTTGTCTTTTCCATGATGTCTTTAATGTCATTTGTTCTAAATTCTTTACATCTACCCTAATCTTCATTCTCATTATAACCTTGATGATGTTCTTCTTATTTTTGTTCACTTTCTTCTCCTTTATTTCTTCCCTCTCTATGCTATTTTTTGTAGCCAGCTAGTTCAGTTGTGCCTTTGCTTAGTCCCTAAAATTTCCCACTGACCTTGAACTTCCAATTTCTTCCTTGCAGGGCTGAAGAGTGCTGCCAGAGAAAGCAGTACTGATTGAGTCTGCCACAAATTCATGCTTGTTCGCCTTAACAGAGCCGTCATTTCTGCTCAGCACTTCTTTTATTCATCTCTTGCTGACTCACTGCTCATCCCACACAGCAGTTTCACCAAACATTTTTAACTCTCTTTAAGATTCAAGCTCTGCTCCAGATATGGCCCTAAAATACCTTTCCAGTTTCATCTTTCACTTCTCCCCAAAAGCTCTTTGCTTTGTGCGTTTCCAAACTTCCCATGTTTGTTCACCCTTGCATACATTCCTATGAAAATACCACCTAATTTACAGAGGTTTTTCTCTTTAAAAAAACCTTCTATTTGTTGTAAACATCATGTGCTTTTTACTACCTTTTATTGAACTTAGCAAATACTTCATTATTCTAGGTTCTCAGACACATGTGCCATCTCTCCAGTTTCATTTATGCGCCACAAAGTGGATGCCTTGATGGTTTATATACATAGGGTTATTACAGATAGTGCCTTGCCTTTAGTCAGGTGATCAGTCTGTTTAGTGAATGGTTGCAGAAATAAATGTTAGTTAATTGTCTGGAGAATAGTTTTTTTCTCCCTAAAACTAAAATTAAAGGTAAGGATTTTTTCATTCATTCTTATTATTTAAATTGTAATGTAACAGTTGCAGTTTTGGATACTAACACCTTGATTGACATAACATATCTTGGGAGCAATTAAAAGAATTTTGTGCAAGAGCCCTATTTCATGTAATGTTCTTGAATCCATAATTCTTTTTGATGCTGGTTAAGACATGCCATTTCTCTTTATTTTATCCATGTATTTAAAATATAAATCAATAAAGACAATAACTTATGCATAAAATTTTGTCTCATAGAAAGCTGCTTTAAATCTTCTTCTTGTGTGTGTGTATGTGTGTGTGTGTGTGGGTGCGCACATGTGTGTGTGTGTGTATTTTCTTTTTTTTTTTTAGATACTGGAGATTGAATTCAAGGTCTTGCATATGCTAAGTAGGCACAATACCACTAAGCTATATCTTGAGCCCTTTTAAAATTTTTTCTTTTGAGATAGTGTTCCCTAAATTTCTCAGGCTGACCTTGAACTTGAACTTGCCATCTTCCTACCTCAGCCTCCAAGGAAGTAGGATTATGGGTTACTTACTGTATTTTTGACATATATTGTCTTTGTTGGAGCTGCTTAATCCAACACCACAGGCTGGGCAGTCTATAAACAACTGAAATTTGTTTTTGACAGTGTGAAAGCTGAAAGTCCAAGATCAAGGTACTGGTAGCTTTGCTGTTTGGTGGGACCTTTTTCTTGGTTCATAGATGGAGACTTTTAACTGTGTCCTCATGTGGGGCAAGGCGACTCTCTGAGGTCTCTTTTATAAGGACTAATCCCTTTCATGATGGCTTTGCCCTCATAATCTAATCAAGTTCCAAAAGGCCTATTTCTTAATACCATCACCATGGAGATTAGGTTTCAGCATATAAATTTGGGAGGGGGAATACAAATATTCACACTATAGTGTGTATTTACTTATAATCATTTATTTCAGCCCCATTAATTGATCATCCCAGTTAATTAAACAATAAGCAGCTTGAGAGAAAGAACTGGTCACATTGTTCAGTTAACTGACAACTTGTTTTCTGAATTTACTATTGCTTCATCTATACTTTTATTTTTCATTGTGTTAAAAAACACTTAATATGAAATTTATGATTTCAACTATTTCAAGTATACAATTTAATAACATCAGTTGCATTCATATTGTATGTAACAAATCACAAAACATTTTCATCTAGCAAAACTAATTCTATAACCATTAAACAACATTCCCTGTTTCTCACTCCCCCATCCGTGGTAACTACCAGTATGTTTGCTGTTCCTATGACTTTGACCACATAAGGTATCTCATGTAAACAGAATCACAGTATTTATCTTTTTGTGACAGCATACTTCAGTTAGCACAACCTCTTCAAGTTTTCATCATGCTATATAGCATGTAACAGCATTTCCTTCCTTTTACAGATTGAATTCCATTGTAGTTACATACTCCATATGGTTTACGCATCCATCTATCAGTAGACATTTGGATTGCATTCACCTCTAGGGTATTGTGGATAATGTTATTACGAACCTAGATGTGCAAATATCCCTTTGAGACCTTATTTTTAATTCTTTGGGATATGTATCCAGAAATGGAATTGCTAGACCATACAGTAG